TTTATATTTCATTCCATTTATGAGCTCAGCTCCAAGATACAAGGCAGGTTGACCCCTTGGTTCAAAACTTTTCCCGCCCGGTTCCCGAAACCAAACCAACGACCCAAACGGTATCAAGTAACCTTCGTAAGGGTACCCATGAAAAGCTTCAAAACAAGTAACGGGAGGATCAATACTAGCATGTGATATCGTGTTGACCGAGTGTGCGAACTCAAAGTATTTTACAGCTAGCGGCCACAAATCCGGGTCCATACCAGCATGGAGCAACAGCGATGATGCTGATCCTTTCAAAGTTCGAATGGCTGATTCCGCATAGGGGTTTTTGATATCCATATTGGGAGGCGAAGGGTCCGAAACAAAACCTAAGTCTTCAACTGCTCTCAAGATGCCCCTCTCTCTATCTGATGATACCTCAACAATACCAGGAGCCTTTGTTCCACAGAAATGTTGAAGACCCTTCATTGCTTCTTCCCCACTCCGCTCATCGGATGGAAAAACACCAATCAAACCCGAAAACCTGTCAACTAGGACCAACGCAACTTTATCCCCAGTTTGCCCCACCAAGTCTCTTGCAATGACAAAATCCACTGCAATTCTCTCCAGAGGAGCCGTCGGATCCTCAGCCTCTCTTGCCAGTCTCAGAACCTCACGCTGGTTTCCCCGACGCCTGTGAGGCGCCTCATGCAGTTTGGCTTGACGACACGTGTCACACAAATGACTCTTCGGAAGGTGGGTCAGAAGATGATTGGGAGGTAAGTTTTCTACCCAAATTTCATCATCCGCACGCCCTTCCTCCTCCTCCCTCCCATCCGCGCTATGCGCACGTACGGCTTCTGGAGGACTTACTTCTTCCACTTTACCGTTCACATCCGGACCCCTTCAGCGTCCGCGCGATGCGCAGGTACAGCTTCCAGAGATGCCGGAGGATGCCGGAGGAACAGGTGAGTCAGTGGCGCCGTCGATCCCCCCGGTGGGGAAACCATGGTGGGGCGACCATATTGCACTGCAACCAAAAAAATGGGCACGTGATGGTCGATTCAGGACTCTGCAGCCAAGGGAGCTGTGAGGGTTCCCAATGAAAACTGAAACCAGCAGTCTGAACCAAGTGACCTATGGAAAGCACCAAGGGACAATCATCCAGCAAATAAATATTGTTGATCCTATCAAATTCCTGCGACCAAAGCCCAACTGATGTAGTAGCAGGTTGGGAGCCCCCCCCAGTCGTGAACCGCAAGGAATAGCTAGAAGTTCCCGACCATGAGGCCAATTCCTCAGCCTGCACGCCTTGACGACGCAAAGCCTTGGAACTTCCCAGCCATTCCCCAGCACCTGTATCGCCAACAAATTCCAAAAAAATGGTTGTGAGATGGAGCCGGAAGAGTGGTAGCTGTGGCAGCAGTGATTGAAGCAGCCAACAAAGCCACCATACCAGGTTTGGTAGGAGAAGGCTTGGGCTTGGGGTTGGTAGTCTTGGGGGCAGGCTTTGATTTGGCATTGGGATCATGTTTGAACGGGCATTTCTCGCGGAAACACTTGCCTTGGGCAAAGTGAATGCAAGGCATTTCAGCCTTCTGTGTTGCAGTCAACTCGGGGGTTTTAGCCGTGGTCGGCTTTGAAGTTTGCTTTGATTTGCCCTTTCCGTCCTTGTCACCTTTCCCTGGTTTGCCCTTTCCTTTACCATCCTTTCCACCTTTAGAGGCAGGCAGCCCAGACGATTCCTGAACTGGATGGGGCTTTTTGGAAGGACCTTTCCTCAGAGCCTCCTGAATGCTGAGCGCGTTGGCTTCCTGCTGAGACTCATGGAGACATTGCTCCAACTTTCCCCATAACCAATCGAAAGTCAAATATTCAGGGGGAGCATCGCGCACCTTGTCAACATGCCTGCGCATGAGTGGATGCTTCTTGACACGGTCATACAACCACTTGGCTAGGAGTCTAGGTTCTGGACCATCAGCAGGACCTATCTGGTTGCGTACGTAATTCACCTTGTCCCTCCATTGTCGAAGGGAAGCGACATTGTCTTGCGGAGGGGGAAGGTTGTACAGTTCCAACGCAGTCATGATGGCACCTGCGTTTTGATCAGTGTCGAACTCACGATACACCAGGTTCAACATAACCCGACCCCGAACCTCATGACCATTCAATTCACACTCCTCCAAATATGAGTTGAACCGAACACCAAAGTGAGACCTAAGATGCTCTGGTTTACACAGAGCAGCCGCTAAGACCCTGTCAAAACGTGGAAAATCCCCAGAAGACGACTGTAGAGCATGTTTCTCTGTTTCTGATCGGGCATTGATAGTTTCGGAAAGCCATCGCATGAGGGATCCATCAGATGAACGATCAAACCTCACCATTAGAGTTTTAAAGAGTTCTTCCATTGCCTGAAAGCACCTGCATCACTAGGAAGGGTGGGTACCTTGAAGTAATGCAAATCCTTAACACGTAGAATGACAGATTCAAGATCATCTCCGCTTCCACTGGCCTTACTGTGAGCGTTGGACGCTTGATCCTGATCTTTGACCTCCTCTGCATGACCTTCCGCATCATGGAACAAACGAAACTCCTCAACTCCTTTGGGTGTAGTTCCGTTTGGCGTCTGGAACCCCCCCTTTTTGAGGAGATGTTTCACCAACACCCTGTTCCCACCAAAAGTCTTGCTTCAGGGTTTGCACTTCAGCATGAAGGTTCTGAAACATATCCCTGTCCTCCAAAATGTCTCCAACAAGTTTGTCAAATCTAGAGTTCAACCTCGAAATGTTTTGCTCTGAGGATTCCAGCCTAGAGTTCCAAGACGTGAGAAACATATTCTTCAATGATGTCAATCCCTCTTCAATTAGTTTTTTTTGATCCTATGTTCAAACTGGACTGTCAAATCTCCCGCAGCATTTTGACCTGGTTGACTCACAAGGGCACTCCTCAACCGATCTATTTCTGTCATGCATTCTTCCAACCTTGAGTTCAAAAACTTCTCTCTTTCAGCAGCCAGACTTAAGGCAGCATCCCTGGCAGTCAGCTCAGCCTTCAGTTGGTTGACTTGGGATTGAAATTGCGCATTGTTTTCTAGCACGTGGGTTCTTGCTTCCAAAATCGCGTGCGCTGCTTCGGTTCTAGCCCCCGTTACAGCTTCAGCCGCTCGGGCCATCACAGAAGGTTCCAATGATGGGGGGGGCAACATACTGGTTCACAGTTTGGTGGATCTGTCGATCATCCTGAAAACTCTGAAAGGTTTGGTGATGATGAACTTGCCGGCAATCCTGAGCTCCTTGCCCAGGACTCTCACTAAGCCCCGAACCAGATGGCATTGCACTGGGCTCCAGGCTTTCAAAACGCTCACAAACTTCCATCCCTGCTGATGGGTTCCCATCTCCCATTTCAAGGACCTCTTTAATACTTTGCGTTCCATCATTTCTTTCCAACTGAGCCGACCCTCTACAACACTCCCTATCCGCCCAGAGGGGACGCCCGCGCTTTGCGCTGGTGCGCCCTTTGTGGAAGGATAAGGACTAGGCTTACGAACCTTTCCCTTTTTGGGGGTCCCTGAAGATGATGAACTGCGACTAGGAGCCCGTGAAGTCAAAATGGCTGGCACCCCATCAACAGATGAACTCAATGAAAATTCAAGACTAGAAGATGAAACCATCAACCACAAAACCACCCAAAGAACTTATCCCAACTGAAATCAAAATCTGCCAAGCTTTTGCAAGACGCGATTTGATCAAGGGATGGGAAACTGCTCTGCCCAAGATGGAGAATCTGCAACCGGAAGGAAGCGGGATTGCTCAATGTAGTCGGCAAACTCCGCAAAGGATCTCACGTGATACAAATTCCGATCTTTTGGGCAATGTTCTGCTTCCAAATAGACGTCTGTTCCCTGGGATGCAGCAATAGTTTCACGACAGGCCCCCACAAAAGCAGCAGTTTTCAACCGGCTCACAATCCCAGCTTTTTGGGAAGGGTTGTCGCAAAAGTGAAGCCCGACTTGTTTCGAACACCCTTGCGTTGTGACAAATTGGTTCAAATCTCTTATTGATGCCACTGCCTGGGATCTCAAGCGGTATGAGTCCGCACCAGTGTAAGAAAGAACTGCCAGTTGGTGATGTCCGAGATTCAAGAGCTTGACAATTGCCTGTTTGTTGTTTCCTCTCGCTTCCCGTCACGACTGTACTTTAGGAATTCAGCACAGTCCAAGACACCGTGCAAATCAGTCACGATCAACACGCGAGAAGGTGGCGGCCCTCTGGTCAGATTTGATGGCCCAACTCTGGGCCTCAAAGGCTCACCCCGAGTGTCACGTGAGAGTTCACCTGGATGAGGAGAGCGATGGCTACTGGTGATCAACCTCGCCGACGACGAAGGTTCTGCAACTTGTTCGGGCCTGGATTCAGTGAAAGCTTGCTCGTTTGAGGCGGGCTTCACTTGAGATCCTGATGCCGAGCTACTTGGGAGTTCCCGCGGCTCTACTTCAGCGCTTGCAGGATGAGGAAGTTCTCGGAGTTGAGAACCGTATTGAGGTACCTGTGGAAAGTCTTTCTTTGGTTGATACTCACTCCGTTCAGTCCTCGCCCGAAGGCTTTTCTGAGCTTTGACTTTCTGGCCACCTCTTTCACCCCTTGGACGCTTAATTTTGCTGACCTTTTGGAGTAGCTTTTAAGCTACCAAACAGTGCACCTCCGGTAAGCGTCACTGATAGCGCTGTTGCCCCTTCCGCAAGGATTTGGACTATGGCGCGAGCTTCCAAGGCTTAACCCAATAAATCAGCAGACACACCTTGTTTATGTCTTGAGCCAAATAAGTTTGTCATGGGCTTTTATACCCTGTAGGTGAACTGTACATGTAGGGTTTAACCCAAAACGTTTCACGTAAAAAAAAAAAGATTACCCCGTGTCAGAAGCCAAGCCCAGCCCGTGAAGTCTGACGACGTGCGCCGAGTCATCGGCTCCTCTCGCGTGCGTGAACGACGCACGCAACAAAGGTCTCGCCCGTCTCGGGTCTCGCGCCTCTGCCCCAATAAGGGCCACCTCCTCTTCAAAGCCGTCGTCCAACATCTTGTCACCTTCATCCTCAACGTCGTCCCGAGCTTGTTTTGGTGAGCGTCCAGAGCCCCCAAATAAGACCCTATTTAGGGGCCCCGCCAGGGGGAGTTGTCACTCGTTGGGTGAGGAAAAAAAACAGGTCAAGGGAAGTGATCGACGCTTCCATTGGATTTTGAGAGGGAAGTGAACACCTGCCTCAAGTGAGTTTTGATTCAGAGATTTTTTAACTGCCGTCGTCATGGCATGTCTGTGCTATCATCTGTTCTCTCCCACCATGTGTGATCTCTCTGATCCAGCTCAGTCGTTTTTCAAGAGCCCCAACAGCTCGGGGTCCCCGTTTTGGGTGTGCCCCTCGCAACTGTGACAGTTGTCAGTTGGTGCCCACTAAGAAACTCAACTCTCTTACAGGTGTCCACAGGCCGGCTAACATAGACATAGCATAGGCCCCCACACACCCCCTTTCTGGGAGTTCTGCCGTGCTACAGACCCTTCACTACTTCCCAAACATGCTTGGCAAGCATCCAAGACCAGGAAGCTGCACCTTGTCAGCTTGAAGGCCTTCTGATCGCCGGGCCTGCCAAGCTGGCCCATCCCCGAAAGCTAGGACCTGGAATTGTTCGGATCACTCCTATTCTTGTGACTCTCTCTCTCTCTCTCAATCCGGTCTTCAGTCATGCGACAAAAAAAAGACATGCGTGGTCATGCTGCATCCAGCCTGGGATGCATGAAATCGAGCAATCTCCCGACGGTTCCAACCAGCAAATGTATGACCCCCTGCCGCTTCAAGATCTGCAGCTGATCCATCCTGCAAGGTTTCTCATTCCAAAAACGGGGTGTTCAAGAATGCCGACCGACCCGGTCCGATCCGGGACATCAAATCCCACAAGCTGTCCAAACACAAAACACATGCTGCTTGCGTTCGAACATCATGTGAACATGGTCGAAGAAAGGGGGCTCGGACATCGTCGGACACCACCGGTTGGCCGGTTTCGAGCCGATGCCGTTCAGCCGGGGCCCAGGTCATCCCCAAAGAGGCACTGGCACTTCAACAAGTTTAATACGCTTGTGGAACATGAGGTGCCAAAAGCAGCTAGTCACGGGGTGAGGAATCAGAAATAAGTATAAGTACCAGGTACCAGTATCAAACAATATACAAGATCAGCATCAAAGTACAGACAGAGCGAGGCAAAAGACACAAGCCAACGAACGTGGCTCCAAGATGGGACTAAACTCCAAACGTGGCAAAGCTTTGTGGAAGGCCGCAAGGGTCCTCAAAAAACGTTCATTGCCCCACTCGCGGTTAGGCCGAGCGCGCGCAACAGACCCATGGGACACACGCACGAAGGAGGAGGTAGGAGGAGCAGGCCGAGAGGTCCGAAGAAAAGAAAAATAACGCCAGACCACCGGAACAGGATGACCAGAACGGGGGATCGATCAGTGGACTAGGATGACGGCTAGGAGGGGCGAGAAAAGACGAGGCGCGCCAGCGAGTTCACAGGACCGACCAGGTGGACTGATGTTCTTCTTCTTGATCTACAGTGGTTTCAGAGGTTCGATGGCACAATCCCCATGATGTCCTTTAGGTGGGGGTCCATGATGGCACCGCCGACATTGGGGTCTGTGCCATCTACTCTCAATCCACTATACATGCCTCCGCTCCATGCCATGTCACAAGATCCTTTTCCTCCAACCCGTCCTCCGCTGACCCCCATAGACAGCGGCAACGGTACAGCTGCGCCGCGCGCGCGCCGTGAGCTTCTCCGCCACGGTTTTGATTTGCATCACCAGCTCACGTGTGGGCGCCAAAATCAAGGCGATGGGACCCTCCGAGACGGAACCTGCTTGTTTTTCAGGTGGAGTCCAAGAGAGGTGAAGTGACCGTCAATAGGACCCTACTGAGGTACCTATGGGATAGTCTATAGGCTATAGGGTTCTTCAACCTCTGTTGGGTCTGGTGGGAATCAACACCAACCATGGAAGACCAGCATGATTGAAACAGCCTGCTGCGGCGCCTCAGTCTGGAAGTCTATGGACCTGGACCATCCGCTCTGAACGTGCTCGACCTTTAAAGTGCAATTCTGTCTAGGACTACCACGCCTCACCTCACCTCACACCTGAGTATCTGCACATCCTGTAGGCGCTTCAGCATGCACTGCCAAATTTTTACTGAATTACTCTGCTATCGTGACTTTGCCTTGCTTTGTGCTGACCTACAACCCTCATGCGGTCAACCTGAAAGGGGGCTCGATCGGCGTCGGTGCGCTGTCCGTTCCCCATCCAAACTGTGAACCCTCAGGGGGCTGGTGAGTTGTTAAACGCACGATGGTGTTTGTGAATTTCTGTGCTGAAGGGACCAGCTGCTCGGTTGGGATAGAATGCAACTGTCCGTTTCTGCACCGCACATTTCTTGGCCCCATGCCACATGCCAAACAGGTATTGGCGGTGGCTCACTTGCTGCCAGTGCACGTGGGCTCGACTGGTTGGTCGCATGCACCATGGCCGGCACCAAGAAAGCTAAAGTCTTCCTTGGAACTGGTCCCACTTGAGGCCAGGGGTTGGTGACGAAAGTTAGCATGGCTTGGAAACGGGATGTGGCGAGAGGCAGCGGAGAGTGCAATTCTACATTTTTGTTCTGGAAGGTCTCTGGTTGCCAAATGACCTAGTGGAGTGTCCTCTCCGGTGCCTTGATCAGACGTGGGGGAGGGGGGAGTTGAACCCGCCAGTGGGGTGGGGGGGAGGTCTACACATGAATTATTCATTGGGTAGGTCATTCCATCCCCCAGCCAATGACTTTCTAAAGCAAGAGTAACTCCAGCTAGCTGACGCTAGCTTTCGTGCTCTCCTGAATCTCCCGAAAGCAACTTCAGGTGTTCACATGACTGAACAAAAACAAGAAACACCCCAGCAGAGTGGAACCAAAACCTGGGCTCCAATCCTATGGCCCGTGGGGGGTCTCCCCACATCTCCACCGGTCGCGCCCGCTGCGCCGAAACCGCTCGCCGTCGACTCCAGGTCTCCCGGAGCCGGTGGGCGCCGTGGCCACCACGTCGTGCCCCGCCAGGGCCAATGGCAGAACCTTCCGCTGGATGGGTTTCATCTCCGTGAAGCTGTGCTCTTGGAGACCTCGCAGTGAAGACAGGAAGACTCGCAGTGAAGACAGGGCGGGCGAGCGAAATCAGTGAAGTTCTACAGACTCAGGTGGCGCGGTGGAACCTGGAAGAGGATGCCTCCACTGGCAACGTCATCACTGACAGGCATTGCTGGTCTTGGGCGTGGAGATGTGAGGAGTTCATCTACCAAATGGGAGGTGGTCCGGCTGCAGCCCACAACCAAAAACAACAACAGAATGTCAGCTTGGAATGTCCCACCCACAAAGTCGGATGTTTTGTTCGGTGCACCGGTGCAGAAAGAGAGTTCTCCGATTCCCGGGCGTCACGTCGTTCGTTTTTGTGAGCAGTTGGTTCACTGTTCGTCCGTTTTTGTGGTCTATTTAAGCCGGACAGGGGCCCCAAGTCCTTTGGACCCACTTCTGTATCGTTGGCGGGTGACGTTGCTGGAGCGCCTTGGCTGCTTCTGCTGAGGGGCGTGCCACGCTGGAAGTAACGATGTTTTATTCAGTTTCTCCTTGAGCATTCGCCCACAACATCTCCAAAGAATGGGTATTCTATGGTATTCTGTTAAAGTAGACTCTTGATCAACACACCCCCCATATGAAGAGGATGTTCAATTCAAATGGCTGGGGTGAATCAAGGGTCTACATTATCCCGTATCCCTTCTTCAAAACTTTCCCCCCAACTGCAACAGCTCCGAGGCACCGTCGGCGAGCCACTTCGGGAGCGCCTGGCGGTAGTCCCCGAAATGCGCGCCGCCACGGCCAGCCGGCGCGTCCTGCGGCGGATCCGTGGGGCCCGCGGCGCATCAAGCCACACGGAAGGCGCATGCAAAAAGAGAATGCATGTGATTACTGTGTGTGTGTGTGTCCAACCCTGGACAAAGGGTCTTCCACCACCACTCTTTC